CTCACAGTTCTAAGTTGTTGCATGATTCAGTAGTTTCTTTTTGTTGAATAGTATCCTAGTATGTGGATATGTTACAGCTTGGTTTTTGGTTTTTCTTTCACATACGAGTGAATATTTCGGTTGTTTTCAACACGGGGCTGTTTTGACAAGTCGCTGTGGATCGCCATGTGCAGACCTTGGCGTTTCCCTGTCTCCCCGAGGTCTGAGAGTGGAATTGTGTGGGGATTGGTAAGTGTGTGTTTGCCTTTGGGGGAAACTGGGAAACAGTTTACCAAGGCAATTGCACTGTTGGTAGAATTCTTTTCTTTTTTAATATTTTCTCTGCCATTGATTCCAGAGAGCGGGGAAGGGAGGGGGAGAGAGAGGGCAAGAAACATGGATCAGCTACCTCTTGCACATACTTCAACTGGGGACAGAACCAGCAACCCAGGCCTGCGCCCTGACCAGAAATTGAACCCACAACCGTCCGGCTCTCAGAACGGTGCCCAAGCCACTGAGCCACACTGCTGTGAGAACTGGCCAGGGCCCGCTGTTAGATCTTAAGCCAGGAGGCCGAGGCAGGGGTCCCGGCGACCCCATGAGTTCAGTTAAAGCGTCCCACCCGGCACACGTCTTTGCTGTGACTGATGGTCCTGCCTGGAGGGCCGCCCTCCCTGAGGCAGCTAACCCGTTTCTTTCCTAGTTTATTGACACAGAAGGACAAAGGCATTGCTTTGGCCTGTTCCTCTGAAGCTATAGCTAGCCTTCCAGGTAAAAGGAAGGAGAAGCCTTTGGCAGGTCTGGTGTACAGGTGATGGCTGCATTTCACCTCAGGGGGCAGTTTCGCTAAGGAAGATGATGGTTGAGGACATGATGATGGGAAAGAAAATTAAGAAGTCGAAATTGGTGCTCAGATTGATCTTCTGGACCCCAGGTCTCTCTAGTAGAAGAGAGGACATCATAAAAGTGCCAGCCATTTCCTGCCCAGCCATGCGAATTAAGGCTTCACAGCTCCTTAGTGGAAACATTTTATAACTGGTAAAACTTCTCAGTGCAGTCATTGAAATGCCACCTTGTAAGAAAGCCATTTTGAAAAGAATTGTACAGCGTGAAAATGACCAGGTAAATTGAAGAGAAACGTTTCTTAAAGTCAAAAATTTCACTTGCAATTTAGCTTATCAAGAAATTCTCAGTCTCATTCTCTGGAGCTTTTTCCCTTGAGAGACGCGGTGCCCCAGGTAATGGGGGGAAGTGCCTGCCTCCAGCAGAGGCGACGTCCCGGGTCCCGGAAGCAGTGGGGCGTCAGCCAGAGAAGCCTCATCACAGGTCACTAGAGACGGCCGGGCTGCTAGAATTAAGAGTCATTATCTCATGGCCCAGAGGAAAACTTAAGCTTTAAAAACAACTAGTTTTGGACAATGGAGACCACCAGAGCAAGCAGCCCACCCAACACGACACTTTCTGGTTTTTGCTGTTGTGGTCGTTGCCTGGCCTCCTAGGAATCTATTCCAGACGGTCTTAGTTACAGACGGACGCAGGGCTGCTCCTGGTTGAAACGGTCACAGAAGCCAGAAACGTGCCTCGCTTGCTCCCCGCCCCCTCGTGTCAAGGCTGCTCGGGTCCTTGCGCCCCGTGTGGCCCCCTCAAGGCCACTGCCAGCTCCCAGGGCCCTCACCCGCTTCTCTGCGGGCTCCGGTGCTCCCCCGCTTGTCCAGTGACACAGAGAATCGCAGACTGTTGCCTCACCATGTCCTTCGGCGGTCACAGGGACACAGGATTAGCAGGTATTAGGGAAGAACACGCGAGCGCGGGCACGCACGCGCCGTTGCTGTGGCAGTGCTTGCAGGTCACGGTCAGCGTGGGCGTTAGTAACAGCTGTGGGGAGAGACAGTCACCACCTGCTGATCCAGGTAGGCTTTTTGTGGGTGAGACATTTTCAGCTGTTAAGTTGTTCTTTAAAAAAAAAATTTTTATTTATTCATTTTTAGAGAGAGGGCAAAGGAGGCAGAAAGAGGGAGAGAAACATCAATATGTGCTTGCCTCTTGCACACCCCCCACTGGGGACCTGGCCCGCAACCCAGATATGTGCCCCAATGAGGAACCAAACCAGCAACCCTTTTGGTTTGCAGGCCAGCACTCAGTCAACTGAGCCACACCAGCCAGGGCTAGGCTTTTCTTTTTTGCTTGATTATCCACCATTATTTCTTTAAAACGATCCTAGATTTGTAAACAAGTCTTGGATGTCATGCTTTTAGACTTTATCTATTATGAAATACATTCAGATTTTCCCTAACCCGACACAGAGTCTATGTCCTGATGGCTCTGTAAAGAAATTAGTTGAAAATATGTCAAGTTTTCATTCCTTCTTTTCTCATGGATACAGTGAATATTTTTTGAGTGCCTACCATGTGTTGTGCCCAGAAATAGAGAAACGGTCTACAACTGCTTGTTTTATTTCCTTTTTGTTGGTGTGGATAATGTTAAAGCATTAATTTGTTTGAGAGCCAAGAGTACCTTTGTGTGTTTCCTGTCCTGAAGATTTTGGAGAGCATTAGAAATTGTCTAAAATCTACTCATCTCAGGACAATTCTAGAAACTGGCTTGTCAGGCAGGTAACCCCCTGGGCAGCTGTCACTGAGAAGGAGAAGGCCAGGGCGCAGGAACACTGCCAGTGCACATCTTTTAGATCTTGAACATCGATACCAGAAACGTGAGGACCCCGGGAAAGCTTGAAGAGCTGCGTCTCTCCTTGATCCCCTCAAAGAGCACTGGCCCGTTTCATTCCGCCATCGGCCTGGCCCCTGGCTGCTTGTGATAGAATATGCCCTAGTATGCAGGTCAGGCAGAACTTCGTGACTTACAGAACGGTCATTACAGATGTAGTTTTCACAACATCTTTGGTCAAGAGTTGGTTGGAAAACTTCCAGGTAATCAAATTAGGTTTCAGCTGGGCCTGAGGATTAGCCAGCCGCTGGCTTGGCCGAGTGTGAAGATGAGAAAAGCGTATCTGAACACCGTGAGCACTCTCAGAAGTACTGGAGGGTCGGATAATGGAATCTCCAAGTAGAGGCGGATGAGATGATTCAGGTAAACACGTTAATGAGGGACTATGTTTTCTCAAAAAACTGGAAGATTTGGGACAAATTCCAAATTGTTAAACAATGGTGAAAGGAATTCATTGAAAGTATTCTACTATCAACAACAACAACAACAAAAAAAGGATGACAGATGTTCAAAGTAAATTATAAAGACATGGTGGTCAATAGTATTGAAAGCCACTTAGAAGCATGTATTCGATTATTAGTATCTGATCAACTGGAACCGAACAGGACTTTAAATTTGTTTCAGTAATTCTCATCAGGCTACCCGCCATGTATTATGCAATGCAAGTGATCTTCAAATTATTGTCAAATTCTACCTTAAAGAGGAATTTCACAAAGGACACGCAATTCATAGCATCTAACGTTGCTGTCATTTCTAGGCTAAGTCCCATGGAAATTCATAACTTAAAAATGAAAGTCACAAGATACAGCTACCTCTGTAATGCCGATGTTGCGGTTATAAATATTTCATGAGTGTTTCATGGGCTGGGGCACATCTCCATTTTCATGAGGTGGAATTTGTGCGGCTAAGTCTCCAGATTTTACTATTCATGATGCACAGTGTACCCTGTAGAACATTCCATACAGCATTATTTTAATGTTTTTTGTTTAATGAAGAAATTACTGTTCTGAAAAGGAGAACAAGCAAACCCAAAGGTTTTTTTTTTTAGTTAAAATTACTAGTTTTGCTGAATGGAGACAATAGCAATCCACAGAAAGGCCCTCAGTGCAGCCCCTAAGCCCACACATGCACTGCTTGGAGAGGGACACAAGATGACAGATCGAGACACACGAAACCGAGTGAAAAGGTTCTTTCTAAAGGTTACAACGTTGGAAATCTCATCTTAAGAGAATTCGAAAGGTTAAAATGCAAAGAGCAACTTTCTTACATATAAAAATATTAATTACAAATGATATACTTGCCTGCCGTCTCATAGTTTAAATATATAGCTATATTTTTCTGGGTTTTTCTTTTATTCAAGAAACATTTTAGCTTGCTAAGCTAATATTACCAAATTCAATAATGAATTGCTATTGCATATTTTATGGTAATTTATCAAAGCGCATTATCAGTACCTGTCAGAATACATTTTTTACTAAAAGTAATGAAAAAAGGACTATTGTGTGTGTTGAAATCAAAGAACATTACTACAGCTGCGTTATTTTCCGTGGGTGGGACAGGTGATTGCAATCAAATGGCACCTGTCCCGTGAGAACCCCACAGCCTGAAAAATCACAGGGAATGTGTACCGCAAACTCTGTTTCTTGCTTTTAAAAATGAGCATTTGATATTTTATTTCATTTCTGCCATTTTGATCAGTTCTTTGAAGGAGATGAGCGTTGCAAAGCGCCACACAGATCTTGGTAGCCTTCGCAGAAGCGAACTAACGCTGCTGACGTTGAATCTGTATCGGCACAGGCTACGTTCATGGTTAGGCTGGCTAGGAGGGTGCAGGTTTTCTCCTGGACCCATGTCGACAGGACGAAGCCTTCGGATGATGAACACAGCAGGCTTCAGGTTCCACAGCATCCACCTGGGAGTCCGCAGCTTCAGTATTTTATGTTACACTTCAACCAGGGCAGTGACTAGAAATTCTGTCACAGTTCCCAAATTTACCACCAGAAGTTTATGTTTTATTCCTGCTAAATGGGCAACACATCCTTCCTTTTGGTTGTTTGTAATTTTATTTTCTGAAGGCTTCGCTCAGGCATGCAACGTTTGTGCTGTGAACTTGCCATTCCCTTCAAGTGTGTTCGCCTCAGCGCCTGCGGGAGCCCGGCGGAGCGCCAGGGAGCGCACTGTGGGCCCCTGGCCACGGCGGGCCGGTCCTGCGTGCCGCTGGCTGCGCTGAGACTCGGGTGTACGTTTGATCGCAACTCTTTAACCGTGCTCTGCATCTGCCTCATCTATCTGAACAGGACCCGGAGCTGGTGCGGAACATCTGTCGCTGGGTTAGGCAAGCTGTTCGCATCCCTTTTTTTGCCAAATTAACCCCGAATGTCACCGACATCGTTAGTATCGCAAGAGCTGCAAAGGAAGGTAAGCATTCTAGGCCTCCATCAATTGCTCAGTTACATAACTACTGGCCCGAATTGTGGAGCCACTGAAAATACATCTTTACCCACAAACGTACATGTTTACCACTCAAGCTCATACACAGACTCCAAACTCTGGCTTGGGGAACAAAAGAGCATGAATGTTTCTAAAACACACATGTTTCACACACAGAGAATTATGAATCAAAACCAGTCACAACAAATCACTCTGAAACAAATGACCTAATAACGTAACACTCTAGCAAGAGCCTTTGAACCTTCAATAAAGTAAAAAAGGAAAAAGAAAAGATACCAGCTTCCACAATGTGAAATTGCTTGTGAGTTTCCATTATATTGCATCAGGCCTAGTACAGTGCCTTAAACACATAAATGTTTAAACACATAAATGTTCAATAAATGTCTGTAGACTCCATAAATCATACAGTCAGTGCATGATTTTACAAATCATATGCACTGTGTATCCAGTGGAAATTGCATCCTGATTTGCAAAAATATTGTAAATTACCTGGAAAATAACACCGAACATCAAACATTTGGCATCCATAAGTCTGCATAATAATTGGAAAAATGAAGTGGTAGTAATTTAAAATGTGTATGTCTAGCATTGTAAGCATCATTGAAGGAGTGAAATTAGTGAGGACTTTTTTATTTAACTATTTTACTGTTCATGCGGTTACCGTCACCCCACTTCTGCCCAGGCCGCCCCTGTTCCCACGGTCGGCGCCCACGCCACTGTCCATGTCCGTGGGCCCTTCGTGTGCATCCTGGGGCTCATCCCTTCGCCTCCTTTCAGTCAGCGAAGGCAGGCAGTGTGAGGAATGTTCTCGTGAGGAGGTGTAGCGTGTCGTCCCGGGCGGTGCGGGTCTGAATGGGTTTTCCCAAAGTCCCTTGAAAAGCTGCAGGTGACTGTCAACGTGCTCTTCACAGGTGGCGCAGATGGCGTGACCGCCACCAACACGGTCTCGGGCCTGATGGGACTTAAAGCCGACGGCACACCCTGGCCGGCCGTGGGCTCCGGGAAGCGGACGACGTATGGCGGAGTGTCAGGTAGGTGTGGCCCTGTCTTTGCCTCTTGCTTTCTTGGAGGTCACTGGACAACCAGCAGGGCGTGCCAAAGCAAGGGTGTCATGCCTTTTCTGATCCCAAGTGGTTCTGTTGCTGGTCCAAATCCCTCGTGGCCCGGACAGATGGGTCCAGCCGCACGCGAGGCGCAGGCCACGGGCGGCACCAGGCGAGGGATCCTGCTCTGGGCTCTCCGGCCGTTCCCTCGGGCCGCGGCCGTGCTTCCCTCCGCCCCAGTTTCTCCCTGCCCCGAGGGCCTGGTCACTTCGGAGCAAAGCCTAACAGCAGGGCCTTCCCTGAGGAAAGCAAGAGCACTCTGACTTCCTCACTGTCTCCATTCGTTTCCACATTTCCTGGGATTGTGAACTCCACCTTCTTCAGGGGGGAAAAACAACAACAACAAAAAACCCTTGCTTTCACACCTGCCCTGACCAGCCATGGAAAGGCAGTGTCTGTGGCTTTAGCTGACAGGACCTCACAGCCCTGCACGCTGTCCCTCATCACCGAACACTCTCCTTGAAAAGAGAACGAGAAGGTTCACCCCCAGGTCCCCGTTCCGTCCCTTGCCCTGTGCACTCTGTGGCTGTGACAATGAGCTTGGCCTTGCAGGAACAAGGCCGGAGGTTCTTGGCTGTGCTGGCATGAGGATTAGTCTCCTTGGTGACGGTGAATATACAAAACAGAGCCGCAGACAGCACTGCCGGAAGCGGGGAGGGGCCGGGGGCCCAGATGAGCGCTCTCCACGCAGGGGCGCCGCGTGTTCCAGGCACGAGGTGTGTCTGTGAGCCATGACTTTAAAAAGGAAAAGAAAGCAGATTATGTTTTGCTTCTAACTGAATGCCTGTCCCTCCCCACGACGTAAGGAGGAGGAAGGCGGATGGGGCGCAGGAGCCACCAAACAGGAACTGCCGTGTCCTGGTGGGGCAGAATCTGGGGCCGTGCCAGTGCATCCCCCAGAAAGAGCGGGGGCCCAAAGCGGCCACCACGCGCACCGTATCTCCCGACAGCCGGTTTGGTTCCCCCGCCTGCCGGGCAGCAGCAGGGGGGCCAGGGGGTCGCAGGAGCGGCTGGGCATTAAAAATTAATGGGCGAGCCACCTCAGCAGTGTTTTATGTAAGCAGCACCGTTCACGGGTTCTCATTTAAGTTGCAGCTCCTGAATATTCTCTCATACTATCACTCAGTCTAATAAACGCACAGGAACGCGGCGCTAGGACAAGCCTTCCGTGCGGCGGTCCCTGAAGCGCGCCCATGCCGGAAATGAAGGCGGCGCCAGGGAACAAGCTCTGGGCACCTTGGGGCCCGTTACCATTTCCATAAAGCTCCATTTCTAAGATTTATGCGCTCACCGATAAATACCCACTTGGGCCGTCTGCGCAGCCAGGCCCGGGTGCAACTTCCCCCACAAACAACAGAACGCCCCTAACGGTTTTAAGAGCTTGTACCTCATTTCTAATAGGTTCCATATGAAAAGGCCCCGCACATGAGACAATCTGTTTTGAAAATTGCCTTTCTCCATATTGACAGAATTAATAGTTTTTTCTCCTTTAAAGCAATGTTTGCTTTAACTTAAAGGTAATGGAATCTGAAAAAGTGGTTTAAGAAGGCAATGATAATATATTTTAGAACTGAAGCAGGTTCTGTAGTGCAGTCCCTTCGGTACGCAGCAGGGTTGTGGGAAGCAACAATGGCTTTGAATCTGAGGAGCAGGGTCAATGTCCGAGTGGCTGGATCCGTTCCTGCCTTCCTCGGACAGGGCGTCCGCACTCCAGGTGCAGCTTCAGTGCGGAGCATCGTACGCAATTTGCCAGGTACTTTTGTAAGATTGAAGAAATTACCACAGCTCCATGCTAATACTCTCCAAAAGATTTTCCTCGGAGCACCAGAAGGTCTACTTCGACAAGAGTAGCTGGAATTACAGGTTTTCTATGGGTGACAGTCCACGGAATTTCTGGAGAGCCACCTGAAAGACCATACTTGCTTGCCATGGCCGGGGGAGGCACCTTTTGCCTTGCAATGGCCCCTAGCTCTTTACTCGGCCTCCCTGGTCTTGTCTGGAATAAGGTTTCTGCTTATTTGTTTACATGGGCAAACAGCAAGGTGCTTGGGGGGTGAGTGCACATGCTGCAGAACCTTGGTCACCTTGCAGGAATGTCCTTAACACATTAGCTGGTGTGGGGAAGCGTAGCATCGGGAAGAGAGAGCTCAGGTAAGGAATGTCAGTTGAGCTATTTCACAGAGTGGTTAGTCTGGAATCTAAAGTAAAGTGATGTTTTTCAAACTTTGCTCCCCAACTGATGAGTGTATTATAGAGTCAGTTTAATGAACTATAAACCAACAGTTTTATTCAGAAAAAAATGAAATAGACTAGAGAACATGTCAGAGTGCTCTACACACAGTTGCGACAAACATTGTTGGGTCAAATATCTTTTTCAGTTAAACGCCTCTACTGGGCCATGATGTAAAATGCATCATCTGTTGTGGTTAACTTCAAAAACGTCTGCAACCTACTGTTTTAGACAGGGCTCTCTGTGTTAAATAAAAGAAGTCATTAAGGCTGTTGCACTTGAAAATGTATGTCAAGGGGGAGAGGTTGTGCCTCATCCCAAGGTCTCCTCCTCAGCTTTGTTACTTTAGAAACTGTTTTCCCATCTCATCTGTAGGTGATTAGAAGTGGGTAGGGCGCCAAACATATGAACCAGATTCATAATGGAATGATTTATAAACCTGAACTTCAATTGTGGGAGAAATACCAGGAACTATATAAGCTCACAGTGTGAGTCCATCAAAGGTTGAATTATAGAATTAAAGGTGATTTCATAGTGAGAATGGCATCAAAAATAAGCCTGTTTGGTGTTCAGAAGGAATATTTTTATGAAATCAGGAGGGCGAATTAAGCTCCCTACCATACAAATACTTCAGTCTATCAGGGGTGTCCAACCTGTGGCCCATGGGCCACATGCGGCCCAGGATGGCTGTGATTGCAGCCCAACACAAAATTGTACATTTACTTAAAATATTATGCAGTTTTCTTGTGATTATGTGTTGCATAGATTTCATGCGTGGCCCAAGACAACTCTTCTTCTTCCAGTGTGGCCCAGAGACGCCAAAAGTTTGGACATCCCTAATATTGACTCTACAGAACCAATGTTCTCCATAAAAATCCTAGAGGAGAATATAGACAGTAAAATCTCAGACATTTCTTATAGAAATATTTTTTCTGATATATCTCCTCCAGCAAGGAAACAAAAGAAAAAATACACAAATGGGATATTAAACTAAAACGTTTGGGCATGCACATCAAAGGAAACCATCAACACAATGAGATGGTAGCCACTGAAGGGGAGACCGTGTTCACCAATGATGCAGTCAATTAGGGGTTACCATCCAAAGTTTATAAGGAACCCCTACAACTGAACACCAAGTAAACAGACAATCCAAATAAAAAATAGGCAAAGGACCTGAACAGACCCATCTCCAAAGAAAACATACAGATGGCCAAGAGACATATGAAAAGATGCTCAATGCCACTAATCATCAGAGGGAGGAAAATTAAAACCACAGTAAGGTATCACCTCACACCAGTCAGAATGGCCATCATCAGAAAGTCAACAGTAAGTGCTGGCGAGGACGTGGAGAGAAGGGAACACTTGTCGCCATTGGTGGGGCTGCAGACTGGTGCGGCCACTGTGGAAAACAGTGCGGAGGGTCCTCGAACTACTAGAAATGGTCTGCCTTTGGACCCAGTGATTTCACTTCTGGGCATTTATCCAAAGAAATCCCAAACACTAATTCAAAGGCATATAAGCATCCCTATGTTCGTAGCAGTGTTATTTGCAACAGCCAAGATATGGAAATAGCCCCAAACAGCCATTTTTAGATGAGTAGATTAAAGGGCCATGGCCCATCTGCACAGTGGAACGCCGCGCAGCTGTGAAAATGAAGACACTCCTACCCTTGCGACAGTGCAGACAGGCCTGGAGGGCAGCGGGCTCAGGGCGATCGGTCAGAGGAAGGTACTCGCTCCACGTGCGCGGAAGGTCTGACATTTCTCTGCGTGGTGGAAAGTTTTCTGATAATAGAAACTTTAGGCTCAATATAATTCCTTCCTATAAGCTTGAAAACTTAACTCACTTTAAATTATTTTATGTGCCAAGGTTGTTTTGTTTTACCAGAAAGAGGAAAATCTTGTTCTCAATTTCAGCTTTTAGGTGCTTGTTTGGAATTACTGGTTCTGTATCAACTTAGTTAAGACAACAGAACATATTTTACTCAGTATTAGTACTTACCGACCTTATTCCCGATTTCTGGATAATTCATCAAAGATGACATTCAAGATTCGATCTGTACTTCAGGAACCCAAGTGTACTAATCACATGTAGGATATTCCAGAAGGTTCAAGAAAGGATTGTGTGTATCTCAACACATGGTAATGGCATTTTTAAAAATCCTCTTACATTTTATAGATAAATAGTGAACGATTTGAAGGTAGCTGTGTGGGCTCTTCCCCACTGAACTTGATCTGAGTTGTTTTGGTTCTAGCCTTCCGGAGGCGACCTCACCACCAAGTCAACCTGGGGCTCGCCCAGGAGCTTGAAAGGCGGCCAACGGTCTGCAGGGCCGCGCAGGGCCGACCGGGAGCACCTAGAGAGTGCTTGCAGTTCCGGATCCTGGGGGAATCGAGATAGTGGTCTCAAAAGAACCCTCAGCACCAACTCTGCCCTGCAGTTTCCGGCGGGGTGGCGGTTCCCATTTTTTCCTGACTGGATTGGGGTGACACTGGCTAACAAAGTAACGCAGGTTTCAGGGGCCCGATTCCACAGCGTGTCCTCCGTGCGCCGTGTTGTGTGTCCGCTGCCCCAAGTCACGTCTCCGCCCATCACCGTTTATTTTCAGTCAGTGGCTTAGGCTGGAACTGCGGGGCCAACGCCGCGACTTAGGGCGCGTTTGACGTGGGGCGCTCCGTGAGCACGGATCCAGCCTTGC